AGTTCTGGCCGTTTCGTCAGCTATTTTTCAAAAAGTCATAACTCATCTCAGAGTGAACATTTTGATTCATAGTAAGCCCCATTCGATTCTACACATGTTTGCTAACGTGATACAAGTCAGTCTATTCCATTCTATAAATGTCTGGAGATCTGGATTCCAAAACTTGAAAAAGGCAGCTTCCACGTCGCCTCGATTTATGAATACTCGTTCCTTTAAGAAGCTGTCCAGGTGTTTGAATAAATGATAGTCAGTTGGTGAAATGTCTGATGAGTAGGGTGGAGCCTCGATTCGCAGCTTGTTCGACTTCTGGAAGACAATTCGTGACACATGAGGTTACGCATTGTCGTGTAAGAGCAGTAGACCGAGGCGACTGACTGGTGCTGGCTGCATTTGCCCCAAATTTGTGTACTTCTTGTGAATTTGAACACAATATGACTGTGCGGTGATGGTTTGGTTTGTTTGAGGAAGAAATGCGTAGTGGATCAATCTATGGTTGGACCACCAAACTGTGATCATTGTCTTCGTGATGTGTAAACTTGGTTTGGGAAATTTTTCAGAGGCTCATCCACACCCACCCACTGAGCAGAACGCTTCCTGTTATCATACAGGATCCATTTCTCATCACACGTTACAATACGATGGAGAAAAGTCTCAACATCATTTCTCCTCAACAGCGAACTTGAAATCTCTAAGCGTTTCGGTTTTTGCTGCTCTATGAAATCGTGTGGCACCCACTTGTCAAGCTTCTTCACCATTCTAAACAGCTTGAGGTGGGCAGCGACGACTGTGTGGAAGGCACCCATCTTCTTGGCAATCTCTCTCGAAGGTTGACGTCGATCCCCTTCGACTGCTCTTAGCAAAACATCGTGATCAACTAACGATGGTCGCCCAACTCGCTCTTCGTCTTCCGGTGTTCCGTCTCCACTTCTGAACTTCTGAAACCAGCGACGAACCGTCCGCTCTGATGCAGTGCCTTCTCCCCATACAACGTTGATGTTTGTGGCTGCATCCTTCGCAGTTCGACCAATTTTGAACTCGTGAAGTAAAACCATTCAAAAAGCAGTCTCATCCATTCTGCCAAAAAAACCTCCTAGAGATTCCAAAACCTTACAGACTTCGGGGAAAGCGCTACGACAGAAAGAGTAACTAATGACTTACCTAAGGAACACAATATGTCGTTTAATCTCAATGGACAGCCACCAGAATTTGAATTCATATGACGCGTGTGTGGGAACGGCCAGAATTTTCCTTACAACCTAATATAAGAAGGCCCCCCATCGATCAATAGGTTCATTTTTCTTCAACCCCCGCCTCGAAGTCCTGGATTTATTTTATGCTGCCAGTTATTCTATTCGTTGCTGTCATTACTGTATAAATTGTATACTACTACTACTGGACCACCACATTTGGAAAAGAAGATATACGGCTCTCCACAGTCTATCTGGAGAAAACATTATATATATATTGTCATCGGGACATATATAGATATATATTCCTTTTATTTCTCATGGTCTGGTCCTTACTGGTAATGCACTGTGAAGTTACCCTGAAGTAGATTCTATCAGAGTCAGTCTAACACCTCCCACTGATCATTATTCCAGTGGGAGAGTACAGACGAGCCAGAAAAAGTAACTAATTGCTCGTCGAGGTGAAGCAACTATCCAAAAACCTTGACATGGTGTGAGTGGGCTGGGAAGACATCCCTGACCATTAGGCATTAAGTGTAGGTTGATTCCAGCTTATATCAACAGCAGTTAGTTGCAAATTTTATTCAACAAATGGATGTTGATGAGCTTTCAGCGAGGTTAGCCACAGATCACATAATGGCTTTCGATGAAATCCGAATCGTTTCGTATGCTTTCCATAGCTGCGTTCACCTGAAACCATTCGATTCCGTCTTTCAAGTATCTCTGTACGTGGTATCTCGAAAGAAAAGAAAGTAATGCTCCCTGAAAGTCACACTTCTCTTACCCTATCACAGTTGGTATTACCAATGGTATATGAGAGGGCAAAGTTTTCATGTAGATTGCCTGATTCTACGTTCAGCACGTGCCCGAGCTCATTGAGCTCTGAATGACTTTTGAAGAGACAAAAAACGAAACAAAATCATTTTCTTTCCTTCTTTGTCTCATACTTACAGCATTTCATAAGCATTCTCATATGCGCTGGTTTCTGATGCATTCCAAGGCAAAACAGATCTGAATCTAGCGAAAACCACTTCGGATGTTGTACTCGAGGTTGTCGTAGTTGTAGTAGAGTTCCTAGCGCAGCCCTTAAACAAAATCTTGTCCATTTTTTAATCTCGTCCTTGATGCATGATGCCGAATGACACTTACCAAAGCGAGCTCGATCACTGTCAGTTAGAAAGGAAGGCGAATCATAACGTCTGAAGACTGCCCTGAGCCTTTTCCTGGAAACTTTCTGTTTCTTTCATGAAGAAATTTTGGTCATCAACGTGATTGTCAAAGGAATTCTCTGTGAATTTGAGATTGCACCCCGTCCCTCGAAGAAATTGAGTACGATGGAATGACAGCAGATAAACATGGTCACAAGGCAGTCAAGGTGCTTTTTAGAAAGAAGTAGTGGGAAGTAGCGTAGATCCGAAACCGCTTCCGCAAGATGTCAGAAGGAGAAGCAGAGAAGTCCGGCAAATTATGGCGGCCATGATTGTTAGATCGCCTGGAAAGCGATAGTCATTCTCCAAAGGCATATTTGGCGGCAAGAGATCTAGCAAAAAAGATTATATGGTACTTGGTTGTGAGACCGGAGGTGAGACAACTAACAAGGCAATCTATGGTATACTTGAGCATGCTGCAGTTGTGCCGTATGCGCATAATCAAGGTAATACATTTTTGATGCATAAGGTAGCGGAAGATAGATGCCGTTGACATCTTACCAAAACCGTGCCACCCAACGGATTTAAAGATGAAGGGTCTCCCAGCTGGCTACGGTTTTTGAAGACGCAGTTCAGATAATTTTGGTGTACCCTTTGAAGGTTGCAAAGCGGCAGTATGTAAATTTAAAAATGTAAGGTGTAAAGGGATAGAGGCCCAAGGAAATGGCGTAAATTGTCGACATGTAGTGTAAACTCAAAGCTGATTGGAGGCAGATCATTAGAAACAATCCAACTAGCATCACAGTGAGATTCAACTAAACCTCCGAGTAAAACACGCTGAAAATTGGCTAGTGAACAAGCAGACATGCCATCTCTTATACCCGAACTTTGCGAATAACTTTATGGCCGTACGATTTTCATATTGGAGCTATTTGTACAATTTGTTTATGGCGCCTAGAAACTGATTTTAATTGCCACTAAAAGAAGAGTTTCTGAGAAAAAAAAAGAGCTTTGTCTGTTCTCAGCTTTCTGTTCTCTATGAATCACAACAAAACCTTCTGACGCCTCCCTTGTATACTGCACATTACACACTAACTTCATATATTTTGCCAAACTCTCATGACCAAATGCATTTGAATCAGTTCCTAGTTACATGTCTATCGGTAGCAAAGGCAAAGTGGTAAAATAGTAACTAGTGATTCTCCTCTTTATGCCCTTGAAGAATGAAGCTTGATTTTCCATGCGTTCTCTAATCCCATTCAGCAGGAATCGCCTTAGCATTCGCCTGCATTCGATGGGGATTTGGATCCTACAATGACTTTCGTGGAATAGCCCTCAAAAAAATGCAGTGCTCCAAAATGTTCAGATAGCCTTGGCGTCAATTTATTAACTATTAAAGGCACAGTTCACGATAATTAAATGGGCGAGAACGTCAATGGCTCTCCCACCTCTCGATCGATGTGGCGTCATCACGTCAGACGAGTGTCGAGACAATACAGATTGCAACTATTCGTTCTAGGACCCGCACACAATCGGCTGGTCGCCGAGTGATGCGGCGGTGTTTTTCTCCCATTCTTTTTTTCTCTGTTATTCTTTTTGCTGCCGCGATCCCTTATTTAGTTACCTACTCCTAGAGGCTGAAAAGGTGAGCTACTTTTGGTGTTACTAGGGAAGAATGTGTCTCAATAATGCGGGAACTTACCCCCTATATAAGGTTAGCCTTCCAGCCGGAACCGTAGACTCTGATCAGCCTGGTATACGCTACTATTGCCGTCCTGGTGGGCTGACTCTACTAATCTGGAAGGTACGGTTTTCATCTCACTATTAGTTACGTGATGACTTAACTGGTCTCGAAGGTCCTGTGGGGGTTAGACATTTTGTCGAATAAATCATGATTTGGTTTCCACCTTTTTAGGCTCCAAAGAAGGCGAAAATCGCCGAAATGTCAGCCGACTTAGTTGTATTATTCAACCTCGTGTTCTGTGCAATAGAATAAGGCTGTTACTAGGGTTTTTTTGTTTATCATGCTTATTAAGTGAATGAATTTTTGCTCACCATAGTCTCTTATTCGCACCAGGACCCACACGCGCGCAGTGAGACACATTGTATAGCTCGTCCAAACGCCTTACTCTTATTCATTCTTCTGGTCTCATTCTCGTCTAGCCCCTTTTTAACGGTTTTTAGAAGCCCTTTTCACTTCGGAAACACCGATTCACGCAGTTTCTTCACCTTCATCGCACTATTTTCAACATTGTCTTCCATTTTTCATCATAACCTGGATTACCCAAAATTATCGTGAACTGTGCCTTTAAGGGTTCGAAAGCTCGGCTGGCTAGGACAGCAAAAGGTGTGACCCTCGAGCCACACCAACCATAAAGCTCTTTCCTGCAACCGCCCTTTTCATGCCTTTAGCAGAATTACCCGGCTAGAGGAATTTGAAAGAGTGCCTTTCTCTCATGTGTTGCAAAAGCTGAATAATATCGTGTTGAAGAGAACAAAAACAAGCCTAATAGAAGCGGAGTGAAATAAGCGGTTTCACTGCAAATTTTTCCGGCTTGCAATAAAACCGTCCAGAATTTTTCAATTTTGAGCACTTTCTTAACCAGAATTGTATTATATTATATAATGTACAGATTGCCCAGATTTATTCAAGGAATAGTAACTTTCATATTGTCTCATCATAAAGATACGGTTCTGCAATAACCGGTTGAATAATTGGTGGTTGCACAATAACCGGCCGTCCAACAACTATGGGAGCAGGGGCAGAGACATACTGTGGTATAACAACTGGAGGAAGCTGACCAACTGGAGCGACTTGAGCACCTCGACCATATGGAGCATATAGCTGATCACTTTGACGATCTTGACCATTTCGTACAATGAGAACTTTGTTAGCATGTGCTGGAGCTGCTGTTGTAGTTGTTGCTGGTGGTGCTGGTGGTGCTTCTATTATGACTGGTCCGCCTGGATTGCATACCACATTTCCACTTGTATAATAGTTTGAGCTCGCTACGATTTGATTGACCCAAGTCCTCACCTAAATAAATTGTTTCAAAAAATGCTATTGCTTCGAGTAAACAAACAACAGAAGAGTAATAGTTTCTAGAAAAAAAAAACTGCAGCGAAATCTATTTAAACTAAACCTGGTCACAGTGGCATTGCGTGAGGGTGAAAGTGAAGGCAAAATAGCCATTACTGTCAGTATCTCCAAGGTTTGAAAAGTCTCCAAGAGGGTACGAGTATTCTTCGATCTGAAATAAATCGAATAATTACAAGTGTGATGCAAGGTGTGAAGCGATTTTTTTCTGACCTTTGTTTGCGGGAAGTAGCCCATATACTCGCTGACTTTTGATGGGTTGTAGACTTGGTTGGTGACTATTGTAACGTAAGCTGTATCTGTTCCACGTGTGGACTTAGGGCTAGGTTTTGGTACTGACTGGCAAGCCTGCAAAAAACATTTTCCAAATTCCATTTTTCTATTTTTAGCCGCTACAGCCGCTAGCCGGCTAGAAGGTATTGCCCATCAAATTATCGTAGAGAAAGCGACATATTGAACATACCAGTGTGCTTCCAATAAGGGCGAAAGCAAAAAGTAAATAATCCATGTTGGATGTGTGATGCGACTGCAGTACGTCAGTCTCCCCCCTACTTATATGTTCTGGGTCTCGATGAATTAGCTATTCAAATAACTTATGCTATAGCTATTAGCTATATTCGCACATTTAAAATTCTATGGATATCTTCGTAGGAACGTTTTATTTTCAATAATTGCTTACTCCAGGCGTTATTTGTCGTAAACCCTCAAATTTTTTTTTTGAAACTAAAGACACCGTTTATGGCTATGTTTTCCCAGCGATAACATTCATCTGTGATTGCCATATGTCATGCATATTCGTTAGCTGTAATCGTAAATTTGTTTTCTATATTATTGTGAAAAAGTTTTAAATGTTTTAAATGTTTCAAAAACCCTTCCTGGAGCCATTTCTGTCTGTCACCCTAAATCATGTGGAGAAAAATAAGAGCTCTAAAGCAGCTTCGTGGCGGTTTCCCACAAATAATCTTTCATGTCTCTGTTTTNAAGACACCGTTTATGGCTATGTTTTCCCAGCGATAACATTCATCTGTGATAGCCATATGTCATGCATATTCGTTAGCTGTAATCGTAAATTTGTTTTCTGTAACATTGTGAATAAGTATTAAATGTTTTCAAAAATCCATTCCTGAAGCTATTTCTGTCTGTCACCCTAAATCATGTGAAGAAAAATAAGAGCTCTAAAGCAGCTTCGTGGCGGTTTCCCACAAATAATCTTTCATGTCTCTGTTTTGAAAGGCAGTAATTTAATACATAGCTACACTAAATGCATACTTGTAGGCTAAACTGACAGAGAGAATTTTCGATGGATTCTGAAGGAGTATTTAATGCTCCAGTAAGCGTCCGCTTTATTCTCTTATTTCAACCTTCTTACGCCTCGCCCGCAACAAAGAAGAACTCTGATACCACTTACTTCCGTTTCGCTCGAACATCCTCCTTCTCTCCTCTTTAGGTATGATCTCTATGCGTTATATCTCAACTCATGATAGGTGTCTAGGAAAATTGTTTACCATCAAATTCACCGAGTATGCCAAGGCTCCATTTCGAGTTGAATTGGGAGGGCGTCATCTTTCATCAATGATTAGAAAAAGGTAGCCTGAAATCAAACTCCATCCCAAACGTCACAACCTTGCTCACTGGGACAGCCTTACCAAGATGACATTCAGGCAGAAGACTTACAGGACCCCAGATTGGAATTTAGATTCCGGGCAAGTAGAGACCTGTGAACGATACTTCTAACTACTAAGTACTTCTAACTTTTATTGAATTTTTGTGAAAGAAGGTGAGATTGGTATCATGGAACACCCGAGAAACCAATGTATCCTCCCTGGTTTTCGGCATGTCCTCAGAAAAATCAAGTCAACAGTAACTTAGTTGCTGGAAAGCCGGATCAAAAGAAAAGTGTTGATAGCCTTCTTCTAGGTTTGAGCATGTTGGCATTCACCCCAGAGAAGTATGGATGAAGAGCCAGGTTGTCTCGAAAGTTTGTGCAAATTTCAATTTTTTTGATTCAATTCTATTTCGAAAAATGCAGGATCAGTGCCCATCATATGCAACATCACCATCACCAATTCGTTACCTACAACTCGGCAGGGGAGCCCATAACATTAAATGAATAAGAGTGGCAGACGGTGTTACAATAGAATAAATAAAACTTATAGATTATACACAGCGACATAATTTAAAAGCCACAAGGATAATTAGTTAGGATTTCACATGGGTTGAAGGAAAACAGTCAGAAAGTAACGACTTATGGGCCACAGAACAAATAGACAGTGAGAAAGAAGGGCCGGGGAAATGAAGGGTCATCTGTGTACTTATGCATTGTTGGGAGCAGGTACATATTGTCGTTTTCCGAAGAATACAAATGGAACTTTTCCACTAGGGTTCGTTGCTGACTTAAAGGCACCTATCACAAAAAAGTTAGGGTACCCTTTTCTGACGGGAATTGATAGAACTACTCTAGAATAAAGCGATAACAACGAAAAAAGCGCAAAAAACGATGAACAAAAAGAATTAAAAAGGGCCAAAAAAAGAGCTGGAAAGGGGGTTGGACGAGTTTCACAGTGAAAGAACGTCGGTTAGAGAGTGTTCGGGCAAGTTGGCAAATTGCCAGGGACGGCAAATTGGCAACTTGCCAGAGACGCAATGTGTTGTCTGCAATAGCATGCAACACATTGCGTCCCTGGCGATTTGCCAATTTGCAATTCAGGGTGGGTCCTGGCGCGATTACATGACACTGTGTCGTCTCGACACTCGTCTAACGTGACACCGATCAAGGGGCGGAGGGCGACCGTGGATATCTGTCCGGCCACTGATTATGCCCTATTCAGCCGTTTTCCGACCTCATTCCTGCACAAATGGTATCAGAGGGGGCGTCGAATTCAAACTATGTGCAAATGTCCGAAACAATGTTTTTGTTAACAGTGCCTTTAAGTATACTTTGCTCGTAACGTTGGCTTTGGGAGGAAGGCCCTTCGACCCCGGACGAGACTCGAACCCGTATTTGTGCTATCCGGGCACACTGCTCAGTCGCTTATACTACTACTTATATTACCCACTTGCTCTCTCCTTCTTAAATGCCTCTGTGCTATAGCTTATCGGCACCCACACTTACAACAGGGTGAGTTGGCTAGAAAATATCAGCGTTGAATCTAAGGATGAGGAGATTCCGGGAAACGATTACTTTCCATTATAGACGAAAAAATATTTATATTATAAACTTGCTTGAAATTTCGAGGGGCAAACTATCAAATAGCAGAAAGTTTTGTTAGACCTTAATACGTTTATTTCTAGGAGGGTAACGTTCGACCTAGTCCATCGCCTTGCAATATTTAGTTTGAGAGCATTTTTTCAACTTCACGCTACTGCTGAGTTTAGCAGAATCGCAGGAAATGCTATATGAAAACCAGCTGAAAACCAGCTGAAACCACAACCAGCATGCGCACCCAAAAGCGGATGAGTTCTCGCGGCGTCGTAGAGTCTGTAAAGATTGCACCGTTCCCAAAGAGACGCATACGTGGCACGCAGGCAGTTTACTGTAGGCGACTGTTCGCAACGCCACCACATTTAGACAGATCGTCCGAATGTTTACTGTTCAAACGTCTCTGTTTTTTGAATTCCTTGTTTTCTCTATATACAATAATTTTCGCGTTTTCTGCGCCACTTTTGCATTACACAAATTATTCGTCCAAAACTAGATGACCAGAAATTATCGTGAATTTGTTGTTGAGGGGATGACCATTGTGTTGAAGGGCTTGACAAAACTTCAGCCCCCTAGAGTCTTCGAGAATTATATCCCGGCCAGCCGTCCCTTTAGTAGGGGGTCTTTCTACATAGCTAAGTAGAGTCTTTACTTCGCGTCATCGGTCTCGTCTACTACGAATCTATACACGTTACTCCGTCACGACTACGGTGATTTGAAAATATTCAGTTCAAATATAAAGTCTTGAGAACGCTGGACATCGATCGAGATGGCTCACGCGGTCCTGAACGCAATCTGTTCTGCGTTTTCAGTACGTAGCGAGGAAGGCGGTCGGCCGGTTGAAACAATGCACGTCGTTGAGCTCTGAAAGCACCCTTTGAACCGTGTACGGGTTACTTTCCGCGCACTAGTATCCAAACGCAACCTGAAACAAAACGCGCTATTGCGAAATAAATGAGATTTGCTCGTAGGAAAAAGTTGGAGAGGAGCGAGACGTGTCGAGTTCTTCTATCATGAAGAAAATAAGGGAACTAGAAAATGAGGAGGTAACCCGTGAGTTGGAAAAGATCTGAGAAGTACGGAGCTGCTGCAGCACTTATATTTCTTCAAATGTCTGCGCGCGGGAAAGTAATTCGAAATCTCTTACACGCGCGACGAATGCGGCGCGACCTGGTCTCATAGTGGTAGGAATGATAGGAATAGACGTTCTCCGCCGAAACTCCACCTCTTGATTGATTGATCAGGCTACGAATGAACACAGGAGAAGAGCAGTAATATCAGCAGACTCGTTCGCTTCTTCAATAGAAGATATTTAGACGGCTCCGGTTTGAAGAGACTTTCAATTAGAAATTTACTCGAAATCCTTAGATAAATTGATATCGCTTTTAAGAGGCCATCAAAAAGTAGTAGTGCATGGTTCCAAAGGTATAGACAATCTGGTGAACGATAATTCGTATCCAGAGTTAGTTAACGACGAGCTACATACTTTGAATCAATGGTATACCTAAAGCCCTCACTCAGCACAACATTCGTAAAAGATAGTCTCGGGTACTAGCATGATGTATAGTAGGAGATTGAAGGCGAAAACAGGACCTCGCTCTGAAGATTCTCGGGAGTGAAGAATAATGTCAACTTGCATTTCTACTTATCGACATTTTCAAGTGCTAGATGACGGAGCAAGTAAAAGGGTCGAGGGGAGCTCTTGAAGCGTAACCCCCTTTTTTTCGTGAGCTGGTTTGGTCACTGAACAAATTACTTCAAAAGAAAATGTATGGTATAGCGAGTAGTACTGAAGTGTTTTTCGAAGGAATTCTGCAAAAATCTGGCTGGATCCCAATCGATACAGCGGCGCATTGTGGCCCCTCCACCCACCTCTCAATACAGGAATTCTGATGAGTCTTCATATTCTGATTTTGCTTTGGCACCGCAAAGAATTTTCTCAAATCTGTCACAATAGTTTTATCGATGAGCATACATTACAATTAATTTTCACTCGTTTTCGTCCGTTTCCTATAAATCGGATGCAGAGATCACCCGATTTGATCTGCTCGAATCCAATGACACGTATCCACAGAGAATGATTGGATCGATGGATCCAGGCCTTAATTTTTAAAATCAGGGAGCTGCAAAAAGATGCAATCAGAAAGCCCAATTAATAACAAATATTGTGTTGCTGTTTATTTGCTAAATGAAGGAAGAAAAATAAAGCCGTTAAGCGTTGATCAGTCATGTTTCTGAGATGAACCTACGCACTTGACTTTAACTTTGCACATCGAATTAGGAGTTTCGGTTTTTCGATTCCAAAAACTGTGCCTCAAATGGACTCGGAACAAAGAAAACAAATAACGCAAAGTTTGCATAGAACTAATGTTCCTTGTTAGGCGGAGATATGAAGCGGCAAGTGGCGCACTATCTCGCACGCATGATCAGGGGTTCAAATCCCGGATCGATATCCACCTAGGCTAACCAAGCCTTCCACTCCTCCGGGGTCGGTTAATTAGCAACCGACTCCTCTCAGAAGATAAAAGCACTGACTTGTACGTTGGCTAGCCACCCCAAGTCATTGTATAGGCAACATACGCATTCAATACGCCACTATGATTCTCAATGGAAGTCCAATGCGGGGTGCATCCCTCAGACGGATTGATTAACGTTTAGAACACAATCCTTCTTTCTTCTAATGTTTATCGGAGTGGATACCGTATCTGGCTCCGAACAGATGTTCTTTTTTGTTTTTTCATTAGTTGCACCTCAATCAAATATCACGGTAATCGCTGCCTCATGGGAAGTAGATTGAGGTAAAATCTACCGCCTAGGTTTCTTTTGGATCCTCTTACCATTGGGGCAATCGCACGGCAAATGATGATTGTCGTGACGAGGTGCTGTTCGCATCGGTGTTCCCTCACCCCGGCCACGCCAGAAAGTGGGATTTTGGGTGTCCACACACTCCTAAGGGGACGCGTCGTGCTGGAGAAAGCTAGGCGGTCCTGCTGCGAGCTAGAAAGGGCCTGTTTTCCTGACACCAAACCAAAGCCCAGACCATAAAGTGTCCATAGTACTCTTGGGAACAATCCTGCTTGACCACACAACGATAACAGGACGTTATAAGACTTTTTTTTAAAACCTGCTGCCAAGATGTTAAATAAGTTCTTATCANAAAAAAAAGTCTTATAACATCAATGCAAAGCTATGCCAAGATTCATCGAGAGTCGAACATGGATGATAACAGGACGCTACATTTATGATGTACGGGTATGAAATGACAAAACTTCAACTGATAGGCAAATAGTGAATGGAACACTATGATGTAGTACCACTACACTGAATATAAGCATAAGTAAAGAGAGGAGAGCATGCGACGATCCACCAGTCAGGCCTGACGACTACATACGAACGACCAAGTGGAGCCGAGACGTAGCGTGATGACGACCTTATGACTATGCTTCTGGCAATTTCCGCCTTCCGCGGCACGACCGACTCCAAATGGATCTGGAGCGCGGTTTCGTCCCGACGCATGCTCTAAACCCGAGTGGAGGTCGTGCGCCACAACAATGACTGACTAGTCACTAATCAGTAGGTAGTAGTCAACCATGAGCTGCGAGACCTGAGTAACAGAATCAACCGTCCCCTAATTTTACAGCACCTAATTTGGGTTCGGCTTCTGAAGAGCGGAAACAAGACCACCTCGGATTCACGCGACCATGTTTCAATTGGGTAACCTCAGTGGAGCATCATGTCCCATTCATTGTGGAATCCCAAAAGTCCACCATTGGACACGCGAGTTTACGGCCTACTTTCACACGTATTATGTCCTTCAGCATACATTTATTCGAAATAACTTTAATCTTACCGCGGATTTCGCCATCTAATTTCTTGAAAATCAATTTTCAGGTCTTATAACATTAAAATTAATGCATTTCTCATGGTCTGGCCCTTACTGGTAATGCACTGTGAAGCTACCCTGAAGTAGATTCTATCAGAGTCAGTCTAGCACCTCCCACTAATCACTATTCCAGTGGGAGAGTACAGACGAGCCAGATGTAGTAACTCATTGCTCGTGGGACTAAGGCAACTATCCAAAAACCTTGACATGGTGTGAGTGGGCCGGAACAACCCTGACCATGAGGTGTGCCGAGGGAGGAGTGGCATTCAGTGTAAGTTGATTCCGGCTCATAACAACAGCAGTTACTTGCAAATTTTATTCAACATATGGATGCTGATGAGCTTTCAGCGAGGTTAGCCACAGATCACAGAATGGCTTTCGATGAAATCCGCGTCGTTTCGTATGCTTTCCATAGCTGCTTTTACCTAAAGCCATTCGATTCTGTCTTTCAAGTATCTCTGTACGTGGTATTTTTATAGGAAAGAAAGTGATGCTTTCAAAAAGTCACATTTGTCTTACCCTATCGCAGTTAGTATTACCAATGGTATATGAGAGGGCAAAGTTCCCATGTAGATTGCCTGATTCCACGTTCAGCACCTGCCCAAGCTCATTGAGCTTCGGTGTTATCTGAATGTCTTTTGAAGGGACAAAGAACGAAACAAAATCATTTTCTATTCTTCTTTGTCTCTTACTTACAGCACTTTCATAAGCATTCTCATATGCGCTGGTTTCTGATGCATTCCAAGGCAAAACAGATCTGAATCTAGCGAAAACCACTTCGGATGTTGTACTCGAGGTTGTCGTAGTTGTAGTAGAGTTCCTAGCGCAGCCCTTAAACAAAATCTTGTCCATTTTTTAATCTCGTCCTTGATGCATGATGCCGAATGACACTTACCAAAGCGAGTTCGATCATTGTCAGATAGAAAGGAAGGCGAATCATAACGTCTGAAGACTGCCCGGAGCCTTTTCCTGGAAACTTTCTGTTTCTTTCATGAAGAAATTTCGGTCATCAACGTGATTGTCAAAGGAATTCTCTGTGAATTTGAGATTGTAGCCCATTCCCAGAAGAAATTGAGTATGATGAAATGCAGTAGGCAAACATGTTCACGAGACCTGCAGTGAGCAGTTTTTCAAGGTGCTTTTTAGAAAGAAGTAGTGGGGTGTAACGTTAATCCGAAACCGCTTTCGAAAGATGTCAGGAGGAGAAGCAGAGAAGTCTGGCAAATTATGGCGGCCATGATTGTTAGATCGCCTGGGAAGCGATAGTCATTCTCCAAAGGCATACTTGGCGGCAAGAGATCTAGCAAAAAAGATTATATGGTACTTGGTTGTGAGACCGGAGGTGAGACAACTAACAAGGCAATCTATGGTATACTTTAGCATGCTGCAGTTGTGCCGTATGCGCATAATCAAGGTAATACATTTTTGATGCATAAGGTATAGGAAGGGAGATGCCGTTGAAATCCTACCAAAACCGTGTTACCTAATTGATTTAATCTCGATGATAGGGAAATCTCAGAAACTTTTTTTATCGTGAACCGTGCCTTTAGGTAAAACGTCCAAAAATGGGCGGAATACTCGCTTTACCTAGACCTTTGAAGCCGTTGAAATGGCACACAGCTTCGAAGAAACTAGCAAAAACTTTCTATATCCCAATCAGGAAAGCTGAAAAGCTTGAAGAACCTGTTGGCAAGTTTTCCAGCTCGATGGCCTTACAAATTTGAAAAAATGGAGTGGAAGAGGCCCAAGGAAATGGCGTAAATTGTCGACATGTAGTGTAAACTCAAAGCTGGTTGGAGGCAGATCATTAGAAACAATCCAACTAGCATCACAGTGAGATTCAACTAAACCTCCGAGTAAAACACGCTGAAAAATGGCTAGTGAACAAGCAGACATGCCATCTCTTATACCCGAACTTTGCGAATAACTTTATGGCCGTACAATTTTCATATTAGAACTATTTGTACAAATTATTCATGGCGCGTAGAAATTGATTTTAATTGCCATTAAAAGTAGAATTTCTGAGAAAAAAAAGGGCCTTGTCTGTTCTCGGCTTTCTGTTCTCTATGAATCACAAAAAACCTTTTGACGACTCTCTTGTATACCGTACTATACTACATACTGTACTTGAATTCCATTCGATATTTGTAGGTTTAATCCTCGAACTTCAATTTTTTGCCCAAACTTCGTATATTTTGCCAAACTCTCATGACTAAATGCATTTGAACCAGTTCCAAGTTGGATGTCTATCGGCAGCAATCAGAGAAGTAAAATAGAACCTACTGATTCTCCTCTTCATGCTCTAAAGCTCGCTTCCTTGAGCATTCTCCGTTCCCATTCAGGTTGCGCCTAACCATTCGCCTACATTCAGAATTGCAGAAGAGTTTGGAATTAGGATTTGGATCCTTCCATGACTTTCGCGAAATGGCCCGTGAAAATGTTCCGTGTTCTGAGCTGCTTAGATAGTCTTGGACGAATTTACCAACTCTCAAGAGATGGAAAGCTCGGCTGGCCAGGGCAGCAAAGGGTGTGATCCTCAGGCCATACCAACCGTAAAGCTCTTTCCTGCAACCGCCCTTTTCTTAACTTTAGCAGAATTACCCGGCTAGAGTAATTTAAAAGAGTGCCTTTCTCTTATGTGTTGCAGAAGCTAAGTCTACAGGGAAACAAGCGGGTTCACCACAAGATTTTCCGGCTTGCAATAAAACCGTCCAGAATTTTGAGCACTTCCGTAATCAGAATTGTATTATATAATGAACACATTGCCCAGCTTTATTCAAAGAAGTGGCAACTTTTATATTGTCTCCTCATAAAGATACGGTTCCGCAATAACCGGTGGTTGTGCAATAACCGGTTGTCCAACAACTATGGGAGCAGGGGCAGAGACATACTGTGGTATAACAACTGGAGGATACTGAGCAACTGGAGCGACTTCAACACCTTGACCATAGGGACCAAACTGAGTAAGTGTACGTTGGCCATCTTGCCCATACGGTGCGCCCAGTTGGACACGAAAACTGGTTCGCATTGTCGTTGAAGCTGCTGTTGTAGTTGTTGCTGGTGGTGCTGGGGGTGCTTGTATTACGAGTGGTCCTGATGGGACGCATACCACATTTCCACTTGTGTAGTAATTTGAGCTCGCTACGATTTGATTGACCCAAGTCCTCACCTAAATAAATTGTTTTGAAAAAATGCTTTGTTTTAAGTAAATAAACAACAGAAGAATAGTAGTGTCTAAAGAAAAAACTGTAGTGAACTTTGTTTAAACTGTACCTCGTCACAGTGGCATTGCGTGAGGATGAAAGTAAAGGCAAAATAGCCATTGCTGTTAGTATTTCCAAGGTCTGAGAAGTATCCAAGAGGTGCCGAGTATTCTTCGATCTGAAATAAATTCGAATAATTGCAACTGTGATGAAAGGCGCGAGGTGGTTTGTTTTCTGACCTTTGTTTGCGGGAAGTAGCCCATATACTGAGAAATTTTTGATGAGTCGTAGACTTGATTGGTGACTATTGTAACGTCCGCTGTATCGTGTCCGTGTGTGACTCCAGAGCCAGGTTGTGGCACTGGTTGGCAAGCCTGCAAAAGATATTTTCTAAATGTTATTCCTCCATTTCTAGCTGGTACTCAGGCTGAGAGGCCTTACCCATGACCTTTCCATAACGAAAGGAAGATTTTGAACATACCAGTGTGGTTCCAATGAGGACGAAAGCAAGAAGTAAACAATCCATGTTGGATGTGTGATGCGACTGCAGTACGTCAGTCTCCCCCCTACTTATATGTTCTGGAATTCGATGAGTGAGCTATTCAGATAACTTATTCTATAGCTATCCATTAGCTATATTCGCATATTTAAAATTCTATGGATATCTTCGTAAGAACGTTTTGTTTCCAATAATTGCTTACTCCAGACGTTATTTGTCGTAAATCCCTAAATTTTCTTTGTAACAGGGGACATTTCTAGCTGGCTGAAAGGCCGTTTCACACAAATAATTCCGTTTATGGCTGTTTTCTCAGCGATAACATTCATCTACGATAGCTATATGTCAAGCATATTTGTTAGCTTTATCGTAAATTTTTTTCTATGGCATTTCGAATAAGTATCAATTGTTATCAAAAAATCCATTTCTTGGAGCCATTCTGTCTGGCACTTCGGTCATGTGAGAAGAAAAGAGGAGCTATGAAACAGCTTCATCGCGGTTTCCCATGGATAATCTTTCATGTCTCTTTTTGACAGGCAGTAAATTCTTTTATGATAGATGGGCTAAACGCATATTCGTCAGCTGTACTGGGAGGAAGAATTCTCGAGGATTCTGAAGGAGTATTCATTGTTGCAGTGAGCGTTCGTTCGGTTCCCTTTTAACAACATTCTCACTTCTTGTCTAGGACAATGAAGTACTCTAGTACAGGTTACTAAGCCGTTTCGCTTGATTATCTTCCTTCTCACCTATGCAGGTATGACCTCTATGTCTTATATATCCACTCGTCATAGGTGTACAAGTTATCGCTTTTTAGGGTCCCATTAAATCCAGCAGGTAGGTCCAGTAAGTTTGCCAAAGCTCTATCTCGTATTGAAGTCGGAGGACGCCATTCTCATCAATGATTGGTGAAGGTTAGCTGGAAATCATCTCCTCTTCCCGAAGGTCTCTACTTTCCTACTCACGACTCACTTGGACAAGCTTATCAAGCCGGTAGTTAGGCAAGAGTCTTACAAGGCTCCAGATGGAATGCAGGTCCCACGCAAGCACAGGCCTGGTAATGGTACTTCAGTGTTTTATAAAAATTTTTGAAAGGAAGAAGGTAAAGTAGGTGTTGGGAACATCTGAGAAACCAATGTATCCTCCCGATTCTCGGCATATCCTCAGGAATTTAAAGGCACTGTTAACGACTAAATGGTTTCGAAGATATGCACATGGTTAGAATTCTGAGCCCCCTCTGATAACATTTGTGCAGGAATTAGGTCGGAAAACGGCTGGATAGGGCACAATAAGGCCAGGAACAGTGGGGGACGCGATGCCTCCGCCCCTCGTTAGGCTGACTACGTGTTAAAATTGTCATTCACCACGTTCGCACTGGAGCGAAGCTGGTGAAAAATCGATACGCAGATTGGCAAATAGCCAGGAATGATCAGCTGGTCGACAGCCTCGTACAGGAGCTAGTTTTCGGCTGTTATTTCTATTTCATGTTTGTTATTTCTATTGTTTTTTGTTATGAATTTTTCACGNCACGGTAGCTTTCTTCAACTATTCTCGTAAATTTATTGAAGATTTTAACATATTTTGGGTAGATTATTGCATGCAAATGTTTTTTTATTTAAGAAACTCCGTTAAATTCGATGTGTTGTCTGTATTGCAGACACTGCGTCGCCTTCGTGCATTCTCGCTCGAACACTCCCTAACCGCCGTTTTCCAATGTGAAAGATGTCCAACCCCACTTTCTAGCACTTTTTTTTGTCCCTTTGTAATACTTTTTGTTGCTCGTTTTTTTGCGCTTTTTCGTTGTTATCGCTTTATTCTGAAGTAGTTCTACCTATTACCGTCAAAAAAAGGGTACCTTTACTTTTTTGTTAACAGTGCCTTTAAGTTTACAGCAATTCAGTTGTTGGATGTCACTAAGACTGGGCAGTCGCTTAGGAGCAGAAGAAAGGTGTTGCTGGCTTTCTCTTAGGTTGAGGCATGTTGGAATTCGCCCAGACCAGCATGAATAAAGAACTCAAAGGTTGTGGCCCATTTCAAACTATTTTTTTGATTCCCTCTATTTCAAAAAATGCAATATCAATGTACATCATATGCACCATCACTATCAACAACTAGTTACCAACAACTAGGCAGGGTGTGGGTGCTCCGCCTCTAGAAGATTTGCGATTCCGAGCAAAAAAGAGTGAGGTCATTTTTGAAATCATCCAGACAATCGTATTTCTTCCTCGCAACATAGCTGCTCAGAGACAGGAATAGATGATAGTCGAAAGGGCCAGTCTGGGCCTACATGGAGAGTGCGGTGGAATTACCCAACCTAGTTTCAGGACCACGAGCTGTGCCATTTTGAGACATGTAATCACGTATGTTTAAGAGCAAGTATTCCTGGACGAGTTCCGAAGAGGTTGGCTGGGGCTTTTCCATTAGAGTTCGCAGCTGACTTCGGTATACTTTGCTCGTAACCATGCGTAGGGAGGAAGGAGCTTTGGCCTTGGGAGGGGACTCCTCGGACTTGTGCTGTGTGGGCACAAGCTCTATCCCATACACTATGTAAACCCCGCTTGCCCTCTCCTTTTTGAATACTTACATGCCATAGCTTATAGGCACCCACACGTACAACGGGGTGAGTTGGTTTGAAAATACCAGCGTTGAACCCAAAAACGACGAGATTCCAGGAAACGATTTTTCTTCATTGTAGACAGAAGAATATCCTACAATCTTGCTTGAAATTTTCAGAGGCAAGGTATCATTTGGCAGAAAGCTTTGTTAGCCCCTCCATACGTTTATTTCCAGGGGGGGGGGGCATGTTCAAGCTAGTCCATCGCTTTGCAAGGTTTAGTTTTGGAGCATTTTTTATTTCACACTTCTGCTGAATTTAGAAAAATCGCAGGAATTGCTCCAAGAACCCAAAAGCGGACGAGTTCTCGCGGCGTTATAGAGTCTATACAGGTTGCACCATTCACAAAGAGACGCATATGTGGCACACGGTCAGCTTACTGCAGGCGGCTGTTCGCAACGCCACCACATTTAGACAGATCGTCCAAATGTCTCTCCATGCAACTTTTATCGTCACATTCTCGTCCAACTATCTATTTTTCTATTTTCTAAATACCTTGTTTTTTTCTATATACACCAATTTTCGCGTTTTCTGCGCCACTTTTGCACTATTCTGGGCCATAACTCGCACTATTCGTCTAAAATTAAATGACTAGAAATTTTCGTGAACTTTTCTTTTAGGTAATGACCATTGTGTCGAGGAGCTTGACAAAACTTCAGTCTTCTAGTCTTCGAAAATTTTATCCTGGCCAGCTGCTCCATTAATAGGGGAATCATGAAGCTATACACGGTCTTCTGCTACGACTACGGTGATTAAAGAGTAGTTCAAATAGAAAGTGTCGACAACGCTGGACACCGATCGATTCGGCTTACGCGTTCCAGAACGCAATCTGTCCTGCGTTGTCAATAGGTGGTCAGCAACGTCGTCGGTCGCTTCGTCAGTCGGTTGAAACAGTGCACGTCGTAGAACTCTGAAAGCACTCATTCATGCATGATAGCAGTACTGCAAGCATATTTATTAGATAGGTACACAAATTTCAACGTTTATGACTTTTTGAATAAAAATTTATTGTCTTCAATAGAACCCTGGTTGATGAGACGAGAGGTTAGGTTGTTTTGGTCTGGTATCAGCCTGAAATCCGACCAACAGACCATGCATGTGACGCTGTACGCCACCTGGACTACTTTTAATCACTGTAACGAGAAGAAAAATCGGGCATCTGCTCCTTTCCTAGACTTATTTCATTTAGAACTTGTATTACGCAAGTCGACGTCCCGGAATTGCGTTTGCTTGATTTTCATTTTCACAAAAATTGATATGCAAAACCGCTGCCATGAAATTGGAGAGAAAATTTGTGATTCCCTCAAGGAACTTATCCTTCCGTATTACTGTAAATAAACTTTTTCTGGTAAATTCCAGAACTCAGTCCTAGATATGACGCATGACTTAGGAACAATCTTAATTATATTACATTATTTGACAATAATGTTGGGCGGAGCTGATATAGTGGCAAGCGGTACACTATCACACACGCTCGGTCACGAGTTCGAATCTCGCATCGATTCCTCTGGGAGGATAAAAGCACTGACTTGTACATTGGCTGGAAACCGCAATTCGTTCAATAGCCCACATACGCATAGAATACGCCTCTATGATTTTGAATGAAAGTCGAATGCAAGGGCGCATTCCTCAGAGCAGAACGATAAAGCTAAAAGACTTTAGTCTTTAACAATGATGGTGTAATTGAGCTTTGGTATTCATGTCGATTTATGTTGCCCAATGTCGATTTGTTGAAAAATCGTTTCGGCTTATCCGATTGTGAACTATTTCCATTACATTAGTGAGCTTACTGAAAGCGCTGCAATACAATTGACCTTGTCGTTGATAATAAAATGTTTATCTGCAAAATGAAATCAAAGGTTCATGATGGACATGCTCTTGAATGAAGACACAGACTCTTCTACATGCTCTACTGTTTCTTCATAATCCGACTGATATGGTATAACGACTGGTGCGACTGGAAGAGCACCTCCTGGAAGCATCACTGGTGGTGTTGCTGTTGTTGTCGTTGTTGTTGGTGGTGTTTTTATTTCAATCAAGTTATCGTTCGCCGATGTCCCTGGACTTGCCGGGTCGTTCGTCATTGTTGGTTCCCATGGAATTGACGCATGTCCTGCATGGACGCATGTAACAGTTCCATTTAAGAAGTACTGCCCGTTGTACACGATATCCCACACCCACGCCTTCGCCTTAAAAAATGATCATTGTTTTGTGTAATCAAACACCAAATGACTACTGTGGTCCAGTGGACCCAAAAGGAGCTGCAGAGAACACGACTCAATACATTTGTGCAATTGGCGTTCAAAAGTGTGAAAGTGTAGGAGAAAAAGCCGTCCACGTTGGTACAGTTTAGATCTGTAAATTTGCCAACATACGCAGAATATGGTTGAATCTGAAATGAGTTTTAAAAAAATCGAAGGTTTTTAAAGATGGTTATAGAAGAAAAGCTAATCTGACTTGTGTTTGGTTAAAGAAGCTCATGTCGTAGTCGACAGTCTCTGGCATGTATTTTTGGTCGGTGATTAGTACAACGTACGCTGTTACGTTTCCATTTCCGCATGAAGTTTCTCCATATTGGTAGAAGCTCGAGCTGTTCACGATCTGGTTCACCCACGCCTTCACCTTAAAAAATGGTCAATGAGCAACAGCTGACTACTGTCGTCTACTGGACCCAAAAAGAAGCTGTAGAGAACAAGTCCTAATGAGTACAATAGAGCAGTTAGCATCCGTAAGTTTGAAAGTCCAGGTGAAATAGCCATCCGTGTTGGTACAGTTTAGATCTGAAAAGTTTCCAACTGACGCAGAATATTGTTGAATCTGAAATAGTCATAGAACAGTCATAGAACAGTTTCCAAACATGTTTAGAAATAACCTCAATACTGACCTCTGTTTTGGAAAAGTCGCTCAAGAATGTGCTGATTCCCGCTGGATTGTATGTTTGGTTGGTGACTAAAGAAACGTACACGATATCGTGCCCTTTCCCTTTCACTTTGGGTTCTGGCACTGGGGAGCAAGCCTTCAAAGAATTCTTTCTGAATGTTGTCTTCTATTTTAGTGCCTCAGATCGTAAGAAGCGATACACATGGCCTTATCATACAGAAAAAAACATATTGAACATACCAGAGCAGTTCCGATAAAGACGAAAGCAAGAAGCAGACGCTCCATGTTGAATAGCTGTTGTGAATATGGAATGCTTGCTTTCCGCCACACTATTTATATCTTCTTGACGCCTGCAACCTGGTTATATGTCAGCCATATTCACAGATTTTATATTTTATAGTTTTCTGAATACGAATTTATCGTTTTCGATTGGACCGTTACATTTCCTGCGCTCTCGAATATTGCTTGAACGGAGAAGAACTTTATTTGATTTCGGCTTGGCCGACGTACACACCCAAAGACTACGTATCTTCAGGGCGTTGTGGAGGTTGTAGAAGTCGGGCCATACCCACTCAGACGCATACGTGGCACGCAGGCAGCTTATTGTGGCCGGCTGTTCGCTATGCCACCACATTAGACAGCTCATCTATACAGTCTTTCCATGGAGCTCTTTTTCGTTATATTCTCGTTCAACCCCTGAGTTTACTACTTTTTTAAAGCCTTGTATTTCTCCAGATACGCCGATCTTCTCGTTTCCAGCACCACTTTTGCACTATTCCGAACTACCACTCCCATCAGACACTCGCAGCTAAATCTACAACACGAAAAAACGCCGGGCGAGTTGTCCGCGACATTTGTCAACTTTTCGCGACAACTGTCTAGCTTAAAATCAGGCAACTCGTTGCGGGACCAATAGCAGCTATGTTCAAACGCCGATTAGTGCAACTTTCCTGTCTTATTCTTCTATTTTCTACCCTATTCTGCTATGATTCTAATCTGATGACTGTTGTATTCTACAATATTCTCTGCTGAACACTATTCTGCTGCCGTTCTATTGGATACCCCGCACTAGCCGAGGCTCAAGCACTGTTCGCACATCATTGTGTGTCTTTATTCTATTGGCACTATTTGCTAGTTGTTCTACTTGTTATCTGTTCAAACTCGGGTTTTTGTAACTCGTATTCCGCATTTGACTATTTTGACTCGTCTACTTTATGGTGACTTTGTATTTCATGCTGCTCTTAATTTTAATTCTGTTATTGCTATTCACCGCAGCAATGGATATTGGGAAACATTTGTGGTGAGGCTTAATCCATATTTATTGCAACTTTGTTTCTTACTTTTGTTTTTTAACTTTTCTTGCTCCTTTTGAAATTTATTCTGTGTATTGCTTTCATATAACTGTCTTTAGATTGTTTCACTTGAATTCACTCCTAATCACGCATTTATGCGGCAGCATAGGACTGAACTGTGGGAGGACTTATATGATTCTACCCCTTTCCATTCTTATGCTGCTTTGGAGGTGAATTCACAACTTTCCCGCTAGCATCCACCTTTCTGCCACCCAACCAAGCAATTAGTTTTCGCTGCATCTTCGCCACTTATATTC